ACTACTTATGTATGTATGTATGTATAATCAGAAAAATAACAATATTTACAAGTAAGGCAGCAGGGCAAGGTGGTGCAGAGCACAGGTGCTAGATTTGGACTGCATGTTTGAATCCTGGCTCTGGTTAGCAGGTCTATAACCTCTGGCAACTTCTTCAACCTTTCTGGACTTTAGTTTGCTCAGTGAAAAAATAGAGTTAATAACTCTGACTTACCATACCGGCTAATTCTGAGGATTAATTGAGCAAAAACAAAGTGCTTAGAATAATGCCTGCTATATCAAATGCTTAATGTTAGCTATTACTATTACTGTACATTAATTTTCTCATTTAATGCTTATGACATACATGTGAGGTAAGTATTTTTATTCTCAATCCACAGGTAAGTTAAGCCATTTACCCAAAGTCCCATAGAGGTAAAGCTGAATTTGACTGCAGAGATTTTCAGTTCCAAGCCTAGGCTCTTACTTCTACCTAATACTTCACAGATCTTGCTCTTATGTCATCATAACATTTATCAAAATATATTTAAATTGTCCTTTAATGGATCATTCACCCTCAGAGTAAACTCTCTGAGGACAGAGATTGGGTGCTTCTTATCCTTTCTGAATTCATAAGTCCACCCATCTTCTGCCCATGAGTCCATATTTTAGAATCTGTTATATGTCAGGCCTTGTGCTGGGTGCTGGGATATCAAGCTGAGTAGAACAAACAGGGTCCCTGTCCTCATGGAACTCAAAGTCTATCCAAAAACACAGATAATCAAATAAATATATAAACTGTTATAGTTGTGACGAAGGAAAAGGGCAGGGTGCTAGGAAATAGCAGAAGAGATGAATCTCATTTAGTTGGGGAGAAATCAAAAAAGGCCTTTCTGACGAAAGGACATGTAAGCTGAGATGAGGAGACGGAGTAGGAGTTAGCCAGGCAAAGACATGGCAGAGAAAGCCCTTGTGCACAGAATCCTAAGAAGAGACCTCACCTGGCACGTGAGGAAGGGAAAGAGCCTGCATGGCGGACAAATCGCGAGCTCACAGCAGAGAGGTATGAGATGAGAAGGGAGAGGTGAGAGACCACAGCACATAGAAGTTTTATAGGTTTGATTGAGAGCGTATC